ACGACTACGGCATGCACGACTATGAGTACACCCCCCCCCCCTCCCCCACCGCCCCCCCCGGTGTTTGTCATCGGGGTTGGGTTTTCGTCGCTTGGCAACGACGTTGTAAAACAAGCCCCCCCCTCGGTGTTTGCCATCAGGATTGGGTTTTCGTCGCTTGGCAACGACGTTGTAAAACAAGCCGATCACTTCGTGAACTCGGCAACCAGGTTACCGTTGTTTTTTACGTCTGGTTTTATTTACGGTAACCATAATGGTGGTCGAGTAGATCATGTTGCGCGGGGTGGAGAACCCTCACTCCGCGCAACGGGGGATGATCGCACCACGTTGTGTTAAAATGGTCAAGCATCCTCGAGGCAGTTACACAGTGCTTACAACTGTCTCTGGAAGTGAAAGCACCAGAAAATAAATTAAGTCATACGCAGCTGTCATCCGTACGCAAGGAAGTAAGCACAAGATGCCGAACACCCTTAGCAGGATGGCAGCTCACCCTTCATGCGACTCGCCAAATACCTCACGGCGCTTCGCGCTTGGTGATGTGAGAGCCTGGTCCGGTGAGAACCCGGCGTGCTCCGTCCCGGCTTTGTAGGGATGCGAGGTCAATGGTCAAACGACTACGGCATGCACGACTATGAGTACACCCCCCCCCCCCTCCCCCTCCGGCATGTTCGTTTTTTCCGCTTCAGGATGGAACGCAGACTGGACGACGAAGAGTTTCCAACCCGTGGACCAGTTGGAGTGCGATGGCTGGGTTGATCATCCCGTCATGGTAACGCACAAGTGTTACAACCCATACCGCACAGGGGATTTTTGAGCCAATAGAATGTCGCAGGTCGTCGAAGAGGAGAGACATTAGCCAGAAGCAGCAGCAGCAGCAGCAGCAGCAGCAGCAGCAGCAGGAGCGGCAGCTTCTCAGAGGCCGCATGTTTTCCCACCAGCTGTGTGCGTGAACAGAAGCACAGGTGTTTGGCGAGCATGCACCCACCCGTGCCTCTTAGCATTTCTCGAGTGGTTTCCATGGAAACGGATGTGTGCTAGAAAACTGAACCGTTCCGGGTGTTTTTTGCGGTGTACGCGTTGCTCCCACGCAGCTTTGCGCCCATACATACCTTATTGAAGAGGAATTCCGCTAAACCTTGTCAACCCCCCCCGTTTCATGGGATTTCAACTCCCGGACACCCAAACACCTAATATATTGCTTGTCTTGGGGGCGACGTGGATTTATTTGGGGGGGGTCGTGCCTTTTCGGCAGGTGATTCAGCGGGACACCTTCGCAAATCTGTTTCACGACTCGGAAGATTTCGTCAACGCCTTCCTGGCGATGTCTATCCTCAGAAAACGCCCGCGGGATGTGCAGGTGCTGCTGACCGACCTTTATCCGCGAGGACCGTTTTGGTGAGAGAAAGAGAGAGGGGGGGTGGAAATCTCTACTATCTTCGGTTTCTATTGTGTTGCTTTTCGGTGTTGGGTTAATGGCGAGAAAGGAGGTTGTGCGAGGAATCTTTATGTTTAGTGTTTGTTGGTTTTTTTTTTGGGGGGGGGGCTCTGTTGTAAGGGTCCTACCTTTGTCGTTAGTTTCTTCGTTGTGCTGGGTCATGACGTGTTGTGCAGTGCTTTGGTAACAACCTATCAAACACCCTGCTGGTTTTGGCAACTGCTTCCGGTGGTAACACCCCGCGGCTCAGAGTTTCTTCCTGCCGTATGAACGCGTGTACCACGCAGCGTGGATTTTTTTCGCTGATTTGTTTCCGCATATCCCTCTCTGTTGCCCGGCATTAAAACCGATCTCTTGCCGATGTGGAACGCTGTCTACCCGGGACGCTCGCTGACTACACGGAACGCTTGCTACGCGGAACGCTTGCTACACGGAACCCTCGGAAACGCGGGACGGCGGCACAATACCCATCCCGAAACGCCCTGGAAACGTTCAATACGGGGCATGCCTCCAAACCGAAATATTGGGACATTAAACAACATGTACCAATTTTACGGTGTGCCCTGCCGAAATACTGCGCTGGGTGGCGTACGTTTACTTCTACACTAGGCCCATGTGGGACAAGGTGTTCGGAGTGGGACGCCCAACGCTGACGGCATGGGAAGTTGGGCTGGAGTATGGCGAATTGAAGGTATGTAGGCGTGAGTGTTTCGTTTTTTATTGTTCTTATTTTCGTTCTCTGACCATTTCGGGGTACGTTCACAACGAACCACAGTTTTCCGTGTACGTTTGGTGCGTGTCGGTGGTTGTCGCCGGCTATGCCGGTAGCCGTTGCGCTTGGAGTGGAGTTTCGTGGGGCGTCGTTGCTTCGTGGGCCGCACAGTCTTGTGTTTTGTCGAGCGCCGGGCTGGATTACGTCGCGAGAAGCGTATGGTCTCTGGGGGTATGCCATCGATACCGGAGGTTTGACGCTTTGGTGTCCGGAGGGAAGACGTCATAGCTTGGATTGGTTGCGTCGTACAAGGAACCTTGTTTTTTCAATGTTGCCCTCCAGTACATTGAGGGTTGCTTCCTGTTACGCCTTCCAGGCGTTTACTCGTTGCTTTGGCATCCGATTTCTCGCTCCGCTCCACGTGCTGGCGACTGGTGGTGCGGGACGTGGGGTCCCCATATTACGGCGCTACGCCGTGGTGTGATGTGCTGTGTAGGCGCGTGGTGTCATCTTGACAGCAGGGAATGAACCATCGAGCGCTCATTTTTTTAAGCCGAGCAATTTTGCCACCGTTATTGTTACCTGTCACCTCTCGAGAGGGCATTTTCTGTGCTTGACTGTCGGCACTGGCCTTTTCGTACCGCGCCGTTATTCTTGAAAGGTGCAATTTTGCCGTACATTGCTGTCGGCGACACTTAACATCACCTCCCACCCACCGCCGCCTACTCGATTTCATCGAAACCCCTAAGGTGTGCTTTAGGGACCTTACCGTTGGCATCTTTGGCCCCGCCGCTCCGACGACAATGGCCAGGATGGTGACCCCCTGCTTTCACACGGCGCTCGTCAGGGCTTACTCGGACTTCGTCATCAGGTTTGTGTTGCTGTTGTTGTTGTCGTTGTTTTTTTTTACTTTCTGGTTTAGGCAGAACGCTTTTCTGTTTTTGTCAGTTCCTGCTTTGACGTCCTTCACGACGCGGGTTATCTCAGATCTCTCGCTCACTCGCTCGCTCAGGTGTGCCTTACTTTGTGTTTTTTTTCAAATATGTCGAGGCAGACATTTTCTACGCAGCTCTGCTTTTTCTTTTGCCGGTGTCTTGAGGGGAGCGGGGTGACCAAAGGTCGTCCAACTAGGCACTTGCCTGGCCTGTCCTTTCCCGCCTTTGACAGCTCAATATTTGACAACAAGTGGCGTAGGAGAGCTCTTTAGTATGGAAGAAATGCCACCGGTGTCGCTAAGGGAGGCAGGATCCGAAGTAACGCATCGAGATGCCGGTGAAAAATAGAGCACACGCTTGTTCCCCCAAGACATGTTGCACGGCAGCAGTGGATCGCTTTCCTCAGACGTGAGACGAGGATACAGGTAGGACATGAAAGAAACAGATGCTCAAGCTCTCGAGGTGACCACTCGTGTATCTTTGGCCGGGTGGTGACAGTAGCGTTTTTTCTTGTGTGCGTGTGTGTGCTGGCCCACCGAGTCTGGGAATCTAACGTCTGCTGATATGGAATGATCGGGTGGTCCAAGCGCACAGCCAACAAGGATCTCGTCGTTGTTCCCAAAATCACCCGCGGCAGAGGCCTAGATCTCCAGGGGATGACGAGCTACGCGTCCCCTCCCTCGAAGAAGGTGGTGGTCACGTGGATGGCTAGGAGGTCTTCCGTTCAGGTGTGTTGAGGCACTTGTGCCATCTGACGGGATTTGACGTGATAATGGTACCGTCTGTAATTGCTCCTATGCATCTCGCTATGTTCTGTCTCTGCATGGAGGTGGTGGTGGAACTGCAGTGGCCAGCTTAGCCGTTTCGAACCGATCGACCTCTTTCTCTCTGCTCTCGAACACTCCGTGGAAAATTTGGGACTGCTGTCGTCGCATGTTTGAATCTGACGAATTTCTTCCTTGTTGTGTGTGTTTGCTGTTAGAACCTGACGAATTCCTCGCTCGCTGCGTTTGCGTGCTGGTACAGTGGCCCGAGCGAGCTTTTTGCAGCGAGGACGGGAGGGATTCGTTTTTCACGTGCGAGTACTTCAGCCACCTCGACACGCGGGAACTGCAGCGCAAGATCAAGAACGAGGCAGATGTGAGAGACGACACAGCTTGACTGAGTCACACCCCTCACTCTGGGACAATTCAGGCGGCAGCGTGGTTGGAGTTAAACTCTTGAAGCGACACGCGTTGTGCTGAGATTCCGGTGGTAGGTAGTGCATCGTGTACGCTGTATCCGACTCACAACGCCGCGGTGAGTGGGCTGGAGGACGCGTACCGCCGGCGTCCGTGTAGCGTGCCGTCCAGTGTCCACGACGAGGCATGCACCCCTTTGTGCCAGGCGTTCGGCCTTGTCAAGCGGACGCCAATAGATGCCCCTCTTCGTGCGCGCTAACTTTGAGAGCCCGGGAGTGTTTATGTGAAGGCTGTTTTGACTGAGCTCAACTACGCCGCGGGTGTGTCGTGGGCGGTCGTTTCGTCTATGCGGGAAATGCACGACTGCACAATGTTGCCACTTCACAACTATGGCCGCGTAATGACCGGCCAACTTTGCTCCCACAACAAGCACGTTTTACCGAGAAAAATATTTGTTTCGTGAACGGTGTCTTAGATAATGGTAGCTGATGCAGGAGTATGTTTTCCCGCAAAGCCCGAGTGTGTGATCTAAGACGTAGACGGAGCCCCTTTACACCCCTAAAAAGCTAAAAGCTTCAGAAATGCCGACATTGACTGGCTTTTTTTAACATCTATCGTGCACACCTATTGGAAATCAATGAAGTCTACTACACGGCGTTTTTGTACCACACAAATGACCAGCCGACCAAAGTCGGCTGAACATCAATGTCTAGCAGGAGTACTCTAGCTAGTAGAAGATGAGGCTGTCTGACTCACGATGAACCTTTACCACATGTTCGGAAAATAGTTCGTGTGGGGAATACTTCCCCCCCTCCCCCCATCGGTGATACCTCAACGCGCGTGGGCCCGGCTCGGTGCGAGTACGAGGTCGTTCCGAAGAGTACGACCCATCCATGCCATTGCACCCCTGCCGCCCGTCTCACGACTGCGACGCACACAAAAAGGTTGTGCAAGGACTTAAGGCCCTGGAGGGCGAAGAGTTTCCCAACGGTGCTGTCGTGGAGGTTCGGGACGCGGACTACAACCTCCTCAGCTTCGAGGAGCAGATCAAGCACGACCTAGAGACGGACATAATGGTAAGCTGGTACGGTTGGGTTTCGTTGTTTGCTTGCTCGCTGGTGGTCGAGGACAGCTGTACGGTAGGGTTTCTGGCTTTTCTGTTCACTTGTTGTTGAACAACCGTCTGTGCATTTTCTCGGTAGCACACGAAATTTTCTCTCCTTCCCATTCATTCTGGAAGTCGATTCGTACACCTTCTTCGAGACACACGTACCTCTTCTTTGCACTCATCGACTGGGCCACAAGTTGTACAACCCCGTTTCACCGGGCCGAAGATTGAAAAGTGGGAAATTCATGATGTTTTCCGTGCCACCCCCCCCCCCCCGTATTTCTCGTTGCCGGGACCCCCCCCCATCGCCGCGAACAAGATCGGTCCGCACGGGGCCGGATTGTTCCACATAATCTTCACCCCTGACCGAGCCAGCCTCATCGAGCTCCAGATAGACCAGACCAAGGCCCGGAAGCACTTCAATAACCTGGCCAAGTGGTCGGGCCACGGCTACAAAGCGGCGGGCGGGCCCAACCCCGTGAATGTGGCGGACACAGTAGGCATGGTGCGGGAGGCCATCGGCGACATGGACCTTTCCAGGCACTGATGGTTTGTTTGGGGTGTTGGTTGGTGTATCTGTCCTTGCTTGATTTTTTTCTCGAGATGAGGGTCGGACCCGGCCAGCACATCCTCAAACTAGTGTGGAGCATGTGCAGTAGAAAAAAAACATGTACCAATAGAACGTCGTTTTTGGCCGAAAGTTCGAAGAAATTTCCTTCGTATGCTTGTCGTTTGGGTTCGTCAAGCTGTTGGCTGTGTAAAACATGCCTGACTCCGTTGGTGTTTGTTGAGGCTGTCTGTTCCCCAGAAGGGAAGACTACTGTTGAGCCATGTTTTTCGATGGATGGTGGAGTGCATTAACTGCTGTGCCCGGCGACCACGCGCGTTGACTCTTTCCGGGACCATTTTTGCCTTTTTCTAGAGCGTATGTTTGGTTGTTTGTTGACGCGATGCATGCGTTTTTTCGTGTTTTTTTGTCGTGCTCCTGGCTCTGGGTTTTGGAGATGCACCGGGAGATTGTTCGCTTATTGCTCGTGTTTTTGTCATTGGTGGCTTGTTTCGTATTTTATGGTTGGCTGTTGGAAACGGCCAGGGCGTTGAACGGGAGGGCGGTCTCACGCAGCAAGCACTCATGGAGGGGTAGGCGGTGGTCATCATGCGTTCCTTGTTTCTGTTTTTCCGCCGGACTGCTCGTTAGGTTTGCCTGAACGGTAACCAGAACACGACACCTTTCTGAGCTTGCCGAGCAGCGTACATGCGCAGGCGTGATAAGTGGGAGGTAGAAAAGCTATGTAGCTAGACGACCGTTGGTGCGGTCGAATCAGGGCGAGAGCCGGGGGGTGTCGAATGCCTAGCTGGGGCTTTGTTGAACTGCTGTGTGTGAGTGGGAAAGCGTTGTGTTGCGCCGGGAGACGTGCCATGTAAGAAATGGTTTGTTTGTAAGAAACCGAGGCTCAGATTCAAGAAAATTCCCCAAGAAATTGAGCATATTGTAGCGGCCGGCGCTATCCACATTAATTCCTATATAGAAGCCTTTGCTCAGTGGTGGGGGGAACATGTGGCGAGCCTCGCACAAAACATATTGAGCGGGCCGGCACTACTGTATTGGCGAATGGGGTGTCAATCGAACGAGGCATCCATCCGGTCGGGAGAAGGACAGACAGACTAGCGCGCCAGATAGGGAGAAGGGGGCGAGAGGTGACTGCGACACGGCGGTACTAGTTGGGCCCAAATGTCCTCTTCCGCCCTGAGCTCAAATTCGCAGAATTCGTGTTTTTTTTTGGTCCGTGTGATTGTTGAACAACGTATAGAAACACAAGGTACGGCGCTTATTGTTGGTGAGCTGGGGCACGCGGAGGGGTGGACGAGGCGTCAGTCAAAGAGAACGGCGGTGGGCCGTAACTGCAGCAATCAATGGTGTCTATGCCTACAGGCTCACGTTATGCACGCAACGCCTCATTGTCTTGAGTAGACTAGTGTACGTACATTTGTTCGATACCCACATGGCGATTGTCTGCGCTTGTTGCTACTTCTTGTAGAAATGTTGATGCTGACAAGCCAAAAGAGCACACAGCCGCCTGAAGGCCATCTTTGAGGAATGTCGGAACCGGCGAGTGGTGCCTGCGCAGTGATTCGTGGACCAACAGAGCTATGACAGATACATACGTATGAGACCAATAGATATTCTTGGGAGGAGGCGAGGAAAGGCGGAGCTGGATCATGGAGAACAGTACGAAGAACTTTCTGCAATCCTTACAGTCCCGCCGCTGGCTTGGAACTACTTTGTATTTTTCTTGGAACAGACGTTGACGAACAAGCTCAGCATCTCGGCATACCTCTGGCACTCTGGCACGCCCACTAACCTCAACTTGCTCTACGGCCGTCTTCCCCCTTGAAGGTTAGTGGGGTTCGTTGTGATCTTGTACCCGTTACTGCTACCAGGTTTCGGTGGGTAGAGCGAACTGTGCCCGAACGCATTATGAGTGTCATGTGAGTATCGGCGCTTTCCAAGAACAACCGCGTGAACCTACAATTGTCTCTCGGGTTACGCATAGTCTAGGTCGCGGCGCCGCCGTTCACGCTGTGAGTAGCACCTAGTTTAGCAGCTGATGCCAACGAAGCTTCGACCCTGTCTTGCTGTTGACCATACATTTGTACTTCCTGCTGCGAGCTAATCTACGTACCTGCTGCTGTCGCTGTACCTGGTACCATGTCACACTACAGGCGAACAACTTTCTGCAGTTCGCCGAACAGACACCTCCCTTCGAGCTTGAACTTCATTTAAGGAAAAGTATATACACGCACAGAAAGACTACCCTTGTCATGATTTTGAATATCACCAACGGCGCCGATGGAACCCTCGCCAACATATTCCTGTTCCAGCAGCGATCTACAGGTTCCAAAATCGATCGGAAGTCACTTGAGTGCTTCCACGAATCTGCACGAATTTGTGCGTTGTATGCGTACTGCGGTGGCACTGCTCACTACAATAGCTTTCGAACCTGAAGGTGTCTTGATTGTACCCCACCGCTTTCTAACAGTACTCTCTCTCGTTGGCCTGCTCTGTTGGCTTGTACTGCTACGAACCATGCTACCGGTGCGCCCATGTGCACGCGTATGCATACGTCCACCCTGATTCTGGCGGGCGGGCATCCCGACGTTCGGGCTATCTGCGATAGTTACCCCGCGAACGCCGCATCGCCCCACCAACAAGATGGGTTCGGCGTGCAGTGGGACAAGCAGCTCTGCCTACGTCGAGAAGCCGCCGAGCGGCATCCAAAGCAACGGGCAGTACGTCGTTGACGGCGTCGTTATACCCCGGAGGGAACTGACGGCAGCAGAGGCCACCCGCCGCGGTCTGAAGGAGGACAGCTGGAGAGGGAGCAAGATGGGTCGAACAAGTACGATTATCGTTCAATCGTGTTGCTTCTTGCGAATACTACACATACTTCTGTGACGTAAGTAGTGCATTTGAATAGGTGTTTGAATTTGGTATTTCAGTCGATTGTTCTGTTTTTCTCGACGGACTGCATAGGTGATGATAGGCCTTGAGCACAGACCACCCCCGCATCGATTATTTTCGTGTTCCGATTTGCCCAGCCTTGTTTTTCGGAAAAACGCCAGCGAACAAGTAAAGTTCATCTGGTAATCAACATCAAGATTCTCGGGGTGATGGCCAGCGATGATACACATAGCCTTGGCACTCACCCCATCCTCCATATCGGGGTGCTGACCCCTTGCCCACCAGGAGGCGTTGCACAGCCCCGATTGGCTGATCGTGATGCTACGGAAGCCGATTAGTGTCCATAGCCCCCCCCCCTCCCCTAAAGCGAATGTCGACGTGCGGGTTCTAGAGCAGATCATATTTCCTTCGTGGGGGGTATTGAGCTTCGCGCCCTGCAACAACCAATAACTCGCCGGCTACTTTCTTGTCCCGTACAGAATACTGGGGGGCTCCGGGTGGTGCTGGTGGCGCCTGGACAACCAACCACGTCGCCACAGATAACCCTGTTCAGCAACCGTACCGCACGGGGAATGGTGGGACAGGTGGAGCCCGGGCCAACTTCATCGCAGCAGATCACCCTGTGCAACAACCGTACCGCAGATGACAAGAGGGTCCTGCTGGGACGAAGCAGGGGATAGTTTCCTGGCCGGTTGATGCGGCAAAAAGTGGAACGTTTTGTGGGCGGTGGGCCTTCTTCGCCGCGTTATGAGGTTGGCCGGTGTGCTGCCTAGAGGGATGGAGATTGGCAAGGTTTTGTACCTCACCGATCGGCCGGGTTGGTACCTAACATTTTCCATTTCTTCGTCGTGGCTTGATGTTTCATGCCTCGACCCACGCATTCATTGATCGGTTGGGACGGGTGGATGCCCGTTTTTTTCGGGGCACAGCAATATGTAGGGCAGATTCGTTGAGGTACCAAGACAGTGAAACCCGAGGGGCGGTCGCAGTCGCTTCTCTGCTCCCCCCCCCACGTCTTGGGAATGCCCTCTCAAAGCTCCGTCGCATGCCGCGCAGTAGCGTCTGAGATATCTTGTTCAGTGCTTAGCTTTCTCTTTCAGATAAAACGCTCACGTAGACCGAGGCTGTAAAGCCGGGAGACACAGGGTCGCCGTCTTTCCGGCCGATCCGTGTCAGTCTGAAAAACCAAGCCTGATGGAAAAGCGTGCCAAAAGGAAAGAGGGTTGGGCGAGGGACGAAATCGAAATCCCCCGCCGGTGTCCTCGATCCAGGGACAAAACACCTTCCATCTCGGGCACAACCACGTGCGCATGCTGCACGCACATGGGAGGGAGAGCTCCTTGCGCAGCATCTCAGGCGTGTGGATAGAGCAAGCGTTTGGTGGCGACAACGAAGCCTCATTCAGAGTGTGTGCTGCGGGAGTGTCACGTGTTGTCTCAGGAAGCCGACCCCTCGTGTTTTCTTTTCGCTTCGAATGGCCATATGCCCGAACATGAGTCAACTACATAGTCTTGGGACCCCAGCCATGCTTGCGGCCACGTAATGGCCAGAAGAATGGTAGAGGCTCGCCGACCAACGATCCGTCGTAGGCAGTGCGGCTTTCGAAGTCCGTGATTCTTTCGAGAACAAAGTCCAAGGGAAAGTCGGTCACGTCCAGCCCAGACGACGCCCCCACGGAGCTGATCGCCATCGACGACGCCACAAATAGCAGGCTAGGCATGTACAGCGTTTTGCCCCAATCCTATCTGTCCTACAAACTTCTCAGTCGATACCAAGACGTCCCTGAGTGCCGAGCTTTCGGAGGTGTTGTCTCCATTGAAGTAGTCGTGTGATGATGTGATGAATCGATTATTACATAAGCCCGACATGGCGTTAAGTTGGTCGTGCATTGCCGCAGTCACCCGCACCTCGTCCTGCACCGACGACTTCATCTCAACAAGCTTCAAGTTCGCAACTGTGGACCGCTCGCCGATGATACGCATCCAGGCTTTCAGGATATTCAGGTTGTGCCACACCGCTATATCGCCGAGGGCGACGATCCGAACCTTACCCGCACCAACCTGGTCGAGCACGTGGGGATGTTTGGTACTCGACATCATGAAGATTCTGTCTGTTCGGATCCGTGTCGGAGGATGGGGTCACGCGCCCGGAGATCCTTCGACAACGGCTT